ACTTTTTGTCATCATATTTTTCACCTTTAGATTCCCATTATTTACAAAAATGCCATCTTATTTACAAAAATGCCAATCTATGTTATGTCACAAAAATGCCAATCTATGTAACATAACATGGTATAATAGATAGAGTACTTCATTCTTACATAACTTGGTACACCATTAACCCATTTGCACTACCCAAATTACTTGATTTACGATTTGAAATACAATAAAACTGCAATTATTAAAATTGTAAGACCGATCTTAACGATGTTTATGTTTTGGTGCTCCAACACCTCCACCCTACGAACTACGCCCCCGATGTTGTTTGGTGGTCCGTCCTTGACAAGGTCGAAATCAACGGCCCATTCCCAGTAACCACAGTGTTGACATTTATAATACGGCCTATTCGGGTTCATTTCGGACATCGAAATGCGGAATTCGACGAGGGTAGCATCTTCCCCGGAGCAGTTGCAGATATATGCAGAGATCCATGAGATGTCAGCAGATGCACAAGGTCGACGAATTACACGACTCCCCGAAGAGGCTGATGACATTGTTGACATAGCTTCTGGAGTACCACTTCGCAAGCTTCTAGCGTGAGATGGTGTATGAAAAGGGAATGGCCGGAGCTAGGAATTAAGGGTGAAATATGACTTGGAATCCCTTTGGTAGAAGGAAGAAGTATATATATAGGGGGGTAAATGATCAATACCACAAAGAGCGTGAAAGTTGTTCTTCTTTGGCGCGTGATTTTTACTGGAACCCTACATTTACAGAGCTCAATTTTGACTTTTACCATTCATTACGGTACGACACATACAGTGGGACATTTATCCCTTTCATATGTACCATTACGTCGACAATTCCATTATATGGTATATTAAGTCAGAACGTTTATACCATAAACAACATAACGTACTTAATGGTACAATAGTAATCGTTAAATGTACCACTAATTAAGTGGTTATGGTTAGGGTCATTGAGATTAGGGTGAATAGTTGAATACAACATGTTTAGGGTATTATTAAGAGTAACCGTTAAATGTACCACTAACCGTTAAATGCGTGTGAACAGGTCATTTCAGAAATCGTGATACATTTTCCCAAAAAAAAATAAAAAATTAAATAACATGAGTCATACAAAAGGTCAAGGTACTGAAAAAGATATTGTACCGTTCAATGCATGGGAATCCCCTTAAGCTATGCAATGTATTGTTCACCACTTTTATTCTTAGTAGTACAACACACGCAAGTAACATATACCATTGAGCTTCCAGTGGTATATTTGTGCACGATTGACCTAGGTGTGTGTGAACAGTGTTTTCCAAAAAATTTATGATGAACCTTTAGAAATTCCATTGGGAAACAGAACAACATTCAGTAGTACAAACTTTGACCCAATTAATGTAGACTAGACTTTGACCCACCCTTACCCTACTATAAATACACATCAAGTAGGGAGTGTATATTCACAATCTCAAAAAGTATCAACAAAGAGAAACCAAACAAAAGAAGAACAAATATCCTTTCATCCCTTCCCTTTAAAAAAAAAAGGTATAAAAAATGTCGAGCTCAACTGACTCATCTGTGTACAGCGACTCCGAACTCGAGGAGTGCTCGGAGAAACCATACATTGCTCTTGTCCACGACACCTGCAAGCTGCGTCAGACCGCGGCGGCTTCAGGTGCCCTTTCTGCTTGGGCAAGAAGATCAGGTACTTCACGTACGTGTCTCTTCTCCAACATGCACACGGTATTGCTTACGGCTCCGATAAGCGGCCAATGAAGGTGAGGGCAGCACACTTGGCCCTGGAGAAGTTTTTGCAGGTCAACGAAAGCACCTTCAACCCCCCTTCCCCCTCTGGGTAGTGTATGGGTTGGTGTTGTTGGATGTCGTCCTTGCTGCTATTGTTCTTGGAGCCTTTTTTTAAAAAAAAATTATTTGTTTTTTCTGTTTTTTTTTTTTGAAGTAATGTAATGGTCCCTTATTAAATGGAATAAAAATTTGCATTTTTAACGTATTGTTACTGTTGTTCCTATTTTAACACATTCAATCTTCAATACTTCTCAACCATGTTATCTTTACCAAAACACCACATATGGAGAAGAAATATGGTGGAATACTCAAGGTTTTTTTGTGCACTTCACGATTTAAAGCACACTAACTCACTACTCAAAGGGCCTGCAATTTCTACCATTTTATTAGACAGTGGTACAAAAAATCATATATTTTACACCATTAATACTGAAGTGGTACAATATAGAATCAAATGGTACCCTAAAAGTGTACCACTGGTTAATATAGAATTAGTGGGGTGAGAATGTGAGCTAAGTTTAAAAAATATAGGAAGGGAACTAGTTTTGTGGGAGGGAAAGTTAATTTGAATATTTGATCCTATTTACCTTGTTACCGTGGTAATCCTACTTCTATAGGTGACGGCGTGACGCAATAGGTGCAGCACTAGGCCAGAGAACTGTCTTGTCAAAAGAAACACTAAATCGAATACAATGGTACATATATATACCATTGAATAACTAACTGGTTTTATTTGTACCACTATATGGTCTTCATAGGTATCATTGTGACAAAGCTGAACTACCCAAGTGTGCACTCCCTCTTAGGTAATGTGAAGATCGAATTTCATATGGTGGAATACTCAAGGTTTTTTTTGTGCACTTCACGATTTAAAGCACACTAACTCACTACTCAAAGGGCCTGCAATTTCTACCATTATATTAGACAGTGGTACAAAAAATCATATATTTTACACCATTAATACTTAAGTGGTACAATATAGAATCAAGTGGTACCCTAAACGTGTTTCCCTCTTAATGGTACCCTACCAAAATATCGGTGTACCATATCGTACAGAATGGTACGATACTGACTGTTAAATGTACCACTTGTTAAGTGGTTATGGTTAGGCTCATTGAGATTAGGGTGAATACAACATGTATAGGGTATTATTTAGAGACCTTATTGCCCCTAAACATGTTTATAGAAGTAGGGTATAACATCGAAGCACTAAAATTGGATTCCGATAAGCAACAAGCACATGGTGCGTACTAACTGAATAACTACCTACACAAGGGTTGATGGAAGTGTATGTTGTCTTACAAAGTAACTCAATACAAGGATAAGATAGTGATTTCGATTCGTATATGTTTCGATTTAAGGTAGACGTAACTCCATCCTCTACCGAACCACCAAGGACTCATAACGCCATAATATATACTACATAAACCTCTAAACCATGGAATACTCAAGGTTTTTTTTGTGCACTTCACAATTTTAACCACACTAACTCACTACTCAAAGGGCCTGCAATTTCTACCATTTTATTAGACAGTGGTACAAAAAATCATATATTTTACACCATTAATACTTAAGTGGTACAATATAGAATCAAGTGGTACCCTAAATGTGTTTCCCTCTTAATGGTACCCTAACAAAATATCGGTGTACCATATCGTATAGAATGGTACGATACTGACCGTTAAATGTACCACTTGTTAAGTGGTTATGGTTAGGCTCATTGAGATTAGGGTGAATACAACATGTTTAGGGTATTTTTTAGAGACCCTATTGCCCCTAAACATGTTTATAGGAGTAGGGTATAACATCGAAGCACTAAAATTGGATTTCGATAAGCGACAAGCACAGGTGCGTACTAACTGAATAACTACCTACACAAGGGTTGATGGAAGTGTATGTTGTCTTACAAAGTAACTCACTACAAGGATAAGATAGTGATTTCGATTCGTATATGTTTTGATTTAAGGTAGACGTAACTTCATCCTCTACCGAACCACCAAGGACTCGTAACGCCATAATATATACTACATAAACCTCTAAACCATGGAATACTCAAGGTTTTTTTTCTGCACTTCACAATTTTAACCACACTAACTCACTACTGAAAGGGCCTGCAATTTCTACCATTTTATTAGACAGTGGTACAAAAAATCATATATTTTACACCATTAATACTGAAGTGGTACAATATAGAATCAAGTGGTACCCTAAACGTGTACCACTGGTTAATATAGAATTAGTGGGGTGAGAATGTGAGCTAAGTTTAAAAAATATAGGAAGGGAACTAGTTTTGTGGGAGGGAAAAGTTAAATTTGAATATTTGATCCTATTTACCTTGTTACCGTGGTAATCCTACTACTGTAGGTGACGGCGTGACGCAATAGGTGGAGTGACTAGGCCAGAGAACTGTCTTGTCAAAAGAAACATTAAATCGAATACAATGGTACATATATGTACCATTGACTAACTAACTTGTTTTATTTGTACCACTATATGGTCTTCATAGGTATCATTGTGACAAAGCTGAACTACCCAAGTGTGCACTCCCTCTTAATGTGAAGATCGAATTTCATTTGGTGGAACACACATACAAGTGCATTGAAGGACTCTCAGTGGTACAAATCATATGGTAACATGTACCACTATTAACAGGTTAATAACCATTTGCATTACAACGGCACCTTTACTAGTGTTAATGGCATCCATTGTGTAAAAGCATATAAACTCGAATAATAAAGGGATGATATATTGTACTAAGAGTTGATATATTAAGTCTATAATTGGATCAATACTACGAATAGTCTTTTTACTTTGTAAAGCATGTATTCCAAATGGTTGCCATCCACATTTCAAATGCCTTTCATTTCTTGTCCTTCGACATTTTAAGTGTCTTTCTTTTTTTGCCCTACTATGGAATCCTACTTTAATCATGTTATTTTTGTTAGTCGCCATTGAATATATTGATATCATTAAACATAGAGTAGTACTAAGTGGTACTTTTATGTGTGCTCATTATAAGCAAAATAGATGCCAGTGGTACTTTTATGTGTACCAATTATATTCAAAATAGATGCCAGGGATACATTTTATATGCTACTAGTTGTGCTGTTAAATTGTACCAATTGCTAAATTGTACCGTTGTTACAGAGCAGTGCAAATAATATAGTTATACGTAGTAAAAAGTTTGAAAAGAATAGATTAATTGTGAATGGATCCAGATGTGCCAAGAGTGAGGCCAAGGAGAGAAGCAAACACTCCACCAGAGTGTCCTCCCCTAACCGTAGTAAAGTATCCTAACGACCCATCCAAATCCCTCATTTGTATTCCCCCAACAGATCGAATATACTCACTGGTTCCTAATGATATGCTGGTTGGGGCCTGACTAGCTTTCTTCCGAGCATCATTTTTTGCCTTATTAGCAGCCCTTTCTTTTCCTTTCTTCTCTGTGCAGGACGGGTATCTAACACTTGTAGTGCGATGTGCTTTCTTCTTGGGTAAGGGTGGATCCTTAATCCTACCTGGGGCAGATCCTTCGTAGCTTCCTTGGAATCCACTAACTGGAGTAGTGTTGTTATTACGAATTCTTGATGCCACTGTCATTGGTGTGTTTGTCCCCTCAAGCCCCTTGTTCTGTGCCACAGAAGACGGTGTTCGGGAAACTCCATGTACACCTTCATCCTCACCAGGACCATTCTCATTCCCTCCTGCAAGCTGCCTTTTCGCAACCATTGCTAGAACTTCATCCACTCTCAGATCCATGAGCTGCAACATCTCTTTGACAGCCTGCACTGCCTCCTTACAAATGGAAGCCTTAGAGCAAATAGGTTCATACGTCCCCATAAGATTGTGATAATTCCTCACTTCATCACTAGTCAATGGATCATGGTAAGCAACTTTTACTCGTGTGTGTTTCCGTTGTACGTCCTTCCTCCAACGACGGAGTACATACTTCTCAGGAACAACAGTTACTCCATTAAGGTCATACACAAGAATCATATGTCGACAAATGATCCCATGACACTCAAAGTGTTTACAGTCACATGCAACTTCATACGTACTACTATCATATACAACCCGGTAGCATCTACGAATCTTTGTCACTTCATCCTTCATCGCATTTTTAGGCTTGATCCAAACACGGTCTTCGATAATAAACTCAATTAGATTAATACCAATTTCATACTGATCTAGGGGACGAACATACAACATCTTCTTGCACTGTCCCTGCACTTCTTTGAATTTTGCATCCGTATAACATTTTTGAAACAACACCTCCGCTGGGATGTCAGTCACTAAATGCCTCACATACCGTTGTGTGTTCGAGTCTGCCATTCTTTCGGCCTCGGCCCTAACTGTCATAGCATCGCAATACCGAATAACAAACTGAGACAATGTTGTCTGCTTGTCAACATTCCCTTTAAAAAATGATTGAAACTCTCTGAACGTTGAGTCGTTTTCATCCCAGCCCAGAATAAATGTTTCAAATACGCGGGAATCCACATTACTCGTTCCTCATAGAGCCCTATTCAATATAACTGCAATTATTAGTTTCATCCAATATACACTAGTTTACGACAAATACTAAGTGACACAAACAAAGACAGCTACAAAAGCTTCTGCTACCTGTACGTACTAATTGCAGTGGTACATTAAAATTGTTAGTGGCAAAACAAAAATAACCATTGGAACAATGCTACTACTTAGTGGTACATAACGCACAGACCAATATATTTACTCAAATATTCAGATCATCAACACCCCAAAAACACATACAAAATCATGAGTAACTTTACTAAGAAACGATAAAGTATAAACCATTGAGTGGAAGAAACTAACCCCCTAGCCAAGCATTGTCTTGTAGCTCATAATGCTGAATTGCATCACACCATCGAGCTTCAAATTCATCAGCATCTAAACTACCGTATATGAGGCTATCAAAGTCACCCTTTAAAACTTCGTAATCATCATCACCCTTCACATACTTACCAAATTTCTGCAGGATGTGCCATATGCACCACCTATGGGTCGTTTCAGCCATTGTAAATGCACAACTTTCCTAATTGCCGGATCTTGATCCGTCAGAATAGCTGTAGGGGCTTTACCGCCCATACAATGCATCCATGTCCTCATCACCCATTCATACATTTCTGCTGTCAGATCAATGCACAACCAAACAATATACTCTGTCTGTGGTGATTCACACCAACAAATACAGCAAAGGGCAAATGGAATTTGTTAGTCAAAGTACGTACTATCAAAACAGGCAACATCGCCAAACTCCTCATAGGCAGCTCTGCTCCTCGCATCCACCCATACAACATCTTGTAAGGAACCATCCTTCCCAAACCTACACAGATGGAAAAAATTTTGATTATCTGCACTCATTTTGTTGAAGTACTCAATCATCCCATTTGCATCACCCTCGGTAAGCTCCAGCCTCTTTTTCTCCTCCTCAGCCACCGCATTCGTCAAGTCTTTTTGAGTAAAAGTCAACTGATCCACTCCATTCACCTGCCTACCAAAACAACCGTACATCTGGGAAACCTTCACCCTTGACTTCTTCGCAGAAACCACCTGTTTCACCAAGTGCTTATGTTTGTTAACCAAATCGTGCTTCCTGTACATGGAAACATCCTTGGACTTTCCCGGTGTAACTGGATGACCAGTGTGCTCCAACTTCACCCTACGAACAACCCAATTCCCTTCTGCATTAACACTTGCATACAACTCCACCTCACATCCACACTTTTTTGTTTTCCTTTGTACAACTGTCTCCTCGTCCTGAATCAAACCTTCCTTCAGTGGATCAACTTTACGCTTCCTAGAAGGTCTTCCGTAGCAGTCACAGGTCCACTTAGCATTCCTCCGCTGCTTACAACACTTTCCAGTACCCAATTCCTTCTTCACCTTCACCCATCCAGAAGCAGCCCTCACTATTCCAAACCCCTTTTGCCTAGCATAGCTCCAGAAGTAAGTATCTAACTCATCCCAACTACCAAATACCATGCCCAAAATTGGGGGTGGTATTTCCTCTTCAACACCGAACACAGTTTGCACCATTTTCCTGCCCTTCTTTGGTGTTGTGAACCCTTCACCATCAACTACGTTTTCACCATGAACTGACTCATAATCTGACCCCAGATTTTCTCCACCATGAACTGACTCATAATCTGACCCCAGATTTTCTCCACCATGAACTGACTCATAATCTGACCCCTGATTTTCTCCATCATCTCCTTCTCCCATTTCATTCTCCTCCTCCTCCTCCTCTTCCTCCTCATCCCATTATGTAAATCCATCCTCACTCCCTAACCCCTCATCATACACATACACATCATCCTCACTATCATCTCCAACTGTCTCAAAACCAACCTACAACACATATACATCCACATCTCATTGTAGTGGATCATTATAGAACCAAACAAGACAATATAACCAACAAAAATATCATGCATTCTGCTCATATTTGAAATCACACAACCCACAAAACCAAAATTTTAGAACAAATGCCATCACAAAATACATAAAAAAGGAAAAATCAACATTAATATACATCTACTCCATCAATTGAAACTACATTAGCCTACCATCAATTGCAAACAACAACAACAAAAACGATTACAATTGAAAAACAAACTAACCCCTACTCCAAATTCATTACCCACATTACAATATACACAATACTTACTCAGTTAAATACTACCCCTACCAATAACCCCCAGCATGATTACTCAATTTCAAAATACTCAATACAAACCCTAACCTCTCCTTACCCAAGCTTTACTTTTTAAATTTCACAATTGCTTTCATTCATTACCCCATTCTCGCTAAGAAACTAACAACAACGCTTTAGAATACATAACTTACCATCTCAGAGTCGAATCTCAGCTCCCTTGCGCAACCATGCCCATCTTCTCTATCTTCCCGAATTGCTTCCGCCAGATCGACACCCAAAATATCTTCTACCCGATTTCTCATTCTACTAATCCACTGCTGCACTTACGAATTCACAATTTGACAAAAAAAAATTTGGCTTACTGAGCTACATTCTTCGTCTCCATTGATGAAGAGCTTCCATTTTTTTTTTTAATAAAATTAACTGATATGCAAGTCATCTTTACCTTAGTGAAAATGTTTTCCCGCTTCTTCTTTTCACTCCCCGTTACACTTCAGTTGTCCCGTTATACTAATGGCCCACTTGCATGATATAAAGTTACAGCTAATTGCAAAATTGCCATCCTATATGCTCCTTCATCCATAGGTGCTATGCGCCAAGACTTAACCTTAAAGTACACCTTACAAGTCACAAGCACATGATCTCAAATTCTCAATTCTTATGTGATGACAACGTTTTAGGGATCAATAGAATGGCAACCTATTTTTTATTTTTTTTTTGGGAACCAATTTGGCCCTTCGATTGTTGTCACTTAGCTACATCACATGAAATAGTTTCTCCTAGAAGCACCTAATAACTTCACTATGGACCCTTGAACAACCAAAGGCATTAGGGTCTCAAGAAATGTATAGGGACATCTTCCACAGTTTGTTTATGCTCGGTCTCAGTTTACTCTTTGAGAGAGAGAGTAAAAGATGTATTTGATAAAACATAAAAAGTAATTGTGTAATACAAAAAGGATTGAACTTTTTACAAAACTGGATTCAAATTGGACATTATTGCTTCAGCATATTGCATGGTACAACATCACAATACAACACAACACAACTCAAAATATCATGACCAAAATCTACCACCACAACAAACAGCAAATTTGGAGGTTTAGGTCTCTATTGGAGTGAAAACCAATAATCTAAACTTGGAGAAAATAGGTGTTCTCTTATCTGACGTACAAGGCATGAACAACAGACAAAGAGACGTGAAGAAGACACAAAAATCAGCGTTGTTAGGACTCTGCGGCAACTTCTCTGACCTTTGTTGAGTTCTCCAGGTCACCCTCAAGCTGGCTAAGGTTTCCCTTCTCCTTGATGAGTTGAGTATGGTGGTGTTTGCAGTACAGCCGGCCCTCATGGCCAATGTAGTTTGAGGGGCTTATTGTGCATCCTCCTTGGAAGCACTTGAAGCAGCTCTTATGATAAGCACTGCCATTAACCGTCACCTTCAAAAAGATTAACATTTTTTTAGTGCACTTTACTTTGAGCCCTTAAAAAGTACTTTCATAAAATCAACTTACAAAATTTATTAACATTTATCAGGATTAGCCCAGTTGCAGCAAATATTGTGGATGTTTTAATACAATGAAACAAAAGGAGTACTAATTTTTTTCCCCTTTGCATAGTCATGTCTTTTAGGAAAGGTCATAGATTCATGGTGAAGATGTAAGACAGTTTAATCTCTTTGATATACAATACAGATTTGAAGACCTAAAATAAAACAGAAAGTGAATACATTTGAACAGTGAGCAGTACCTTTTCAGTTGGATAAGCAGTCTTGGAGCAACCCGCACATTTATCTCTAGTTCCACCAAACATGGAAGAGACTTTGCTAGGAGGTTTCTGAGCAAAGTAATTCATTATCCCAAAATGAGAAATCGAATATTATAACAAGCTCTCAGAATTAACAGAGTAATTGTGTATGTTCACTTATATTATGTCAAAGCCTATAAGATATACCTCACTATCAACGAGTCTATCTGGTTTTGTTTTAGGTGTACCTGAAACCAAAATTCGGAATTTGATAAATAATAATTCACCAGAAATCACAGCTATATTCATTTGTTACTGTATTTGTATTGTAAGATTGAGGATCTTAAATCGGTATACCTTCAAAGCTTTTGTCTAAGCTGCCAGTTAGCTTGAACAGCTGATCAAAATGCGGCCTGCAGTACAACACCCCTTCAAAGGAGTTGTAATTGCTAAGCTGCAAAAACAAATTTCATTTCTCAGCAAAGCATTCTAAATTTCACAAATGATGCAATCTGGTTTCAGATCTGCCTGATTTAAGCATTGTTACAATATCCATGCTTAAAGGTCTAGAAGTTGCACAGATCACTTGAATGTTGACCCATCAAACTAGAATCTGTTTGCTTACACAGAAAGATGGACTCAAAACTTGACTCATAAAAAACAAAATTTATAGACTCAAAAATAAATCTGCAATATTTTCTCCCTTCAATTCAATTCAATACACAAGTCCACATAGAAATTTCAACACATACTGATCAATTAGTCTAATTGATGATATTGTAACACAGCTCTAACAGTTATTGTCAAAAGGCCAATGATGTTACATAGATAATGTAACTTTATACCAAGCTAATAATCAAAATTGTATTCATCGGCTAAAAAGATCTAGATCCAAGATGGAGATATCTGCATTAGAGAAATTTGTACAATCCAACAACATAGTTATAGTTATGTATTGCGTAAATTGTTTCAGGTAATGAAAATATAAATGTAACAACGAAAAATACAAAGTACGGGCAATACCTTGAGGGTGCCTTTGCAATGATGGCAACGAAAACAGGCTTTGTGATAGACCTTATTGTCGGCGGTAAGCTTATCAACAAGATAGACAGTTTTATCACAGGCCTTGCATTTGGGGTTAGTGCTTGTGATTGTAGCCATTTTTCTCCTGCTTTAGAAAGAATGATGGTGTTACAATCACAAAAGCAATTGGAAGGAAAATGCGAGAGCCTGTAATGTTAAGAGCTAGCAATGGTTGTTTGAAAAATTTGGGAGGAAGAAAAGATGAGGGAGAGGAGTGGTGGTGGGGCTGGCAGGAGATTGCGGAGACCAAAAGCAGAAGTTAGAAGTTGGATAATTGAAAGCAGAGGTCTTTTGGCAATCATTTTGTCCGATTTTAAAGCACCTAACTAGTAACCACCGCTGTCTTTTCAGTTTTTCTCCCCAATTTTATTATTTATTTACATCCTCCATTTCTATTTAGTTGCTACAATTTTCTAATTTTCTAATTGTTAATTAGTTATTACACTTCCCTAAAAAAAAAAAAAAAAAATAGTTATTACACTTTTTATTTTTGACATTTTTTACTCTCTATCTTTCTCCTACCTACATTGG